GAGATATTTATCAATAAATGGGCGCAGCTTGAGACCATACTCATAAGTGAAATAAATCAATCTCGCATGTGTGAATACCGAATAGTTTCCCTAATGTAAGTAATGATTCAAATATATAAAAATATGTGGTAATCATGATTCCCCATTAGGTGGCCTTGAAGCCTTATAAAGTTTTCACTCATTAATTAGAAAGGCTTTATTCTGGGCTTCTTGATATGGAAATATTTGAAGCTAGAGTATATTAAGTTTTATCCAAATATTTCAAGGAAAAAGACAGACACTATGGTAACTACTATTAAATCGGGTTATATGGTGGTGAAGTACTAGGTTGCTGAAACAGTCATGCTTTGACCGCTATTGTTATATTGTTATGTCTTGTTTTATCTCAATCCCCCCCTTATTGTTTTAAAAAAATTATTTAGTCATTTCTTATGTTTGTCTTAATTAAGGGAAAAAATTTAAAAAATTAGGATATATAAATAGTTAACTCTTTTTGATTTCCTATTAACTTGTTTTGAAGTCCTGTAATACTCCCACGATCTTGTTTTGACTGATTAGACTCTGTTCCATCCTGTGCGATAGTATCAAGTTTGAGGATATAGGCAACTACTTTGAAGGCAATAAGATTCACTAAGATGCCCATTCTGGTTTAACTATTGTCTCCTTTGGAAGTCCTGTAATGTTTATAATGCCTAAGTTTTATTGGTCTTGTTCTTTAGTGTTTTGTCCAACTTTATAATATCTTATGAGATAGACAATTCTTTTTAAGGAAACAAGAGACAACGATGATAACCATTGTTGATAACCTTGTACTCTGTTCTACATCATGTGCTATGTCTATCCTTGGTTTTGACTGACAGCTTTGTTTTGCCATATTTGACTGTATTCTCTCCCCCCCAAAAAAAGTAATAAGCACTAAGGAGTAATAAAATCCAAAATGTGTAAATTTTGTTGTAAAAAAGAGAGGGAAAAAAAAAAGAGCTCTAACGGATATAACAGCAAGTGTGTTTAGGGGTGTTAAATAGCTGACTATATCAATGTTTTTGGATCATTGAACACAGCTGTTTGCAGTCTCCCTGTTTGAATGTCCACCTTGTATTCTCTGATACTGTGATTTGAGCAACTATTTTCAAGATGATAATATGTAATCTATTAACAGGTGATTTCTTACTGTTATTTTTTTTGTAGTTCTGTATTACGTGTACCCTTACACCGCTTTGTTTTGTTTTGTGTTTTTCTCTTTTTCCTCTTAAATAAAATAAAAAAAAGAATAAAAATATTCACCTTATTCAATTTGAATTCAACTACTGAAATACGTAATTTGCCCAACACTGAAATACAGACCCCATTTTCTGAAGGTCAACATTCTTGCTCCTTGCCCAATCATACAAATAAACAAGCTGTTACAAGACAATACAAATTATCTAGTACAACTTTTTATATGGCATTCCAAGTATACACCATGAATATTACCATGGAAATTGAATCTAGGAAGTTTAATAGCATTCTTCCTATTGCTTGAAGTTTGACGTTTAAAATAGCATCATAATCAAATTGATATCTGCAGAAAAGATCTTCAAAGAGCAATGAAATGAGAATTGAAATTTATAAAGAATGATGGAAAGAAAGTCTGACTACAAAGTCAACAGTTAACATCTTCTTTGAACACAACAAATAGAATATTGTTGCACTTCAACATGCCAAATCATCCTTATAATCTTAGAATAATATATAACTGCAGCATGATACAACTCAGAAAGCATTATAAATGAAATTACACTTATATTAATTTCTCAAAAGATTTGAATTATTTATGTCAGCTGAAAACAGTCTGATCTCAAATGTATTTATTTCTTCTGCAAGTTTTGATCTAATTCAATGTAATTAGTTGTCTAATAAAGCTTCTCCCTTAGAAAAGAAATAGCATTTTACTTATATCCATAGTATATACAAACACTCAGTATTTTCATAACTCAAATAAAAGGAAAACTTTTCCATTTTCCAACAATTTTCCATTTCCAATTTCCATTCAATTTTCCAACAAAATTCCAAGTATGCTTAAAAATGTATCTCAACTTATTCATATTTATCATTTTTTGGTATCTAAATATGGTATTTTTATGCATTTGAGAATGGCAGATAAGCCTGATACTATTTGCCCATCCCTTAACTCCAGCTGAGGGAGTATCTGGTAGGCAGACATTGATCAGCTGTGGTGAGCTCTATTACATCAGCACAGAATCTAAAGTAAGCAGATTTAAAATCTGAGCTCTTAAAAACACAACCAAGCTCCCATGATGGAAATGACCAAGGAAATAAGAACAGCATTCAGACTGGTTCTTAGATGAAATAAACAATCACAACCATTCCTGACATATTCTTTACTGCTTTTAACTTGTTTCCTATGGATTTAAAACCTATATGAAGCTTCTGTTCCATTTCGCAAGGCATGAACATGGAAGCCTAATGAACTGAACATTAGCACCAACTCTGTTAAAACAACTGGGTGAATTTCAATGAGTCAGTACTTTAATCTGGCCTCATTACCATCATCTGAACGTTAAAGGAGTATATTATTTGATCTTCAAGACCCTATTCATCTTCAGAAACTCTATTTTTTTAATTTTCAAGCCTGGCAGAAAAATGTAACTTTCCTCCAGAAGCCCATAAGGAAACAAGTTTCCTTGTAGCTAGAAAGCCTGATGAAGGTATCCAATTGCTGCCTGAAAAGTCTTGGGGTGACCTTGTAGCAACTATTTGCAACCAACTCTTTCAGTGTGCCCTTGTGTATGTTCAAAGAAGACAATGGACTTTCCTAGCTAAATTCATCTTGTCTAGTAATTCTTAATCTTATTTCAATGAAAGTTGAGCCTTGCAAAATTTCATAAAGAGGCTCCATCAGACAACTAACTTATGATGACAAGATAACTTACGATCTCCTGTCTTCCCTCTGACTCGTACATACAAGAGTGCTATATGTTCCTCCCTCCAGATCTGAGGCCCTTATGGCTGGAATATACAAGTACCACAGAACTTTCTCATGGGACTAAATCAAATTTATGTAAACTCTGCTCAAGTCATGCCCCTTTGGGTCTTTCTCTCCCCACCTAAACATGCCTCCAAAGTCTATAGGGTCTTAGAGTTCTTTACCTAGTGACCTAATTCCCCAGAGGCAGAGAATCACAATTACTTCACTGAATACCACAGATGGTACCAATGGTGGAAATCACATCATCTGAGGAAGGAGGCAGAAAGTGGGAAACAAGGATAAAATGATCAATCCCTCAGGAAGTAATACCCAGCATTCTAAGCTAACAAAAGACACAAAGGAAAAAAAATAATGGAAGTTATTAAGTAAAAGGAGAGAATGGTTCCCTTAGGGAAAGACAGGGTCAGTACACACCAGGGTGGGGGTCTGAGTGTCCATCTGTTCAAGTGTAAAGCAAGCTTCCAGGCATCCTTTTGAATGCTCCGATAACTGAAGCAACACAGTTCCTAACATTTTTGGACATAATATTCCTAAATATCATTATGTTGCATTCATGCATAAAATGAAATTAGCCACTTACAAAGAATAAGTTATGTACATCCTGCTATAGAAGAATACCCTGCAGGATCTACCTGTTAGCGTAAAAGTATTTGCCACTGTGTTAAGAGTTTGCCACACATAAGGGGATTTAAAATATGACAGCTACCTGCATTAGCTTTTTAAGAGTTCCAGACCTCCTCTCTCCCACTATTAGCCACTGTACAACCTATCCACACAATCATGTGGAGGCTCCACTGAGTGCCCCGTCTCAGGCACCAACATTAGTTTTGTTCATCGTATTCCATTTTCCCTGAGCTGCTGCAATCACAGTTCACTAGTCTACAAATGTTGACTATGTGTTTTGATGCTAACAATGGAATAGAAGAATGGTATATATTTAAGGACTTGAAAATCTGTGCCCTTGACAGATAATAAAAACATCCTTCTTCCTTCTGGGATTCCAGAATGATGATGAAGGTGTGTGGGAGGTAGGGAGTTTATTTGTACCATGATCTCATGTGTACACTGCATACTATAAACACATGTATCCACATGAAATAAAAGTCATTTAGAAAACATACACTTTATTTCAACTTATCATTTTCCCAGTACACCTCTGAAACTACAATTACTAGTGAAAACTGAATTTACTTCAATTTACTAAATACCCAATTTATAGATGTTTCTCCTTCCTTCTTTTCTTCCTTCCTTCCTTCCTTCCTTCCTTCCATCTGTCCTTTCTTTCTTTTCCCCCCAAACTCAAAATCTCACACTTGCCAGGTAAACACTTGCACCTCTGAGCTAAATCCCCAGCCCTATTGCTTTTTTCAAGTAGAAAACCAAATTTATTTTAACTTCATTTTACTTAATATGTGTGGCTAATCATAATTTCATGAATTCACCTGTAAAAAAGTTCATACCTTCACATTTACAAGACAAAAACTGATTCTTTGTATAAGGAAGGACAGTACTTAAAATGAGCACTTAAAATTAAGCAAATCATCTCTACCCACAACTTTTCTCTACAAGCAAATTGATGATCTATTCATATTAATTCAAACTGTATAGCCAAAAAAGATGGTTAGTAATATCTACAGTAAATATACTATAGGACTAAAACTATATATCATACATATAAGTTATATGAATGCAAATTAAAGAGAATTAATGCATTCATTGGATATTTTCTGCACACACAATCTATATATCAGAAATTCACATCCTCAGAATACTACTCAGCTATTTTTCAGCACTTTTTGTTTCATAATAGTGTGCATCAAACATAATTTCCCATTTTCACAACAGTCTTGTACTCCAGCTAACATTTCTCCTCTTTCTACCTGACTGCTTGCTCCATCTAACAAAAATATTTCTAAGATATACAGCACTACAGAAAAATCATGAAAATGGAATTCGACCTTATGAGGGTGGAGGCCACGAGCATTCCATTTCAAAGTCACTCGTCACTCACCTGTGCCATCATCCACATTCTCTACTTCCATCACTTCCGTATTTATCCGGCCACGAAAAAGATACCGATGTCCATCTGCGGAACCCTTGCTGTTCTTCAACCGTCTTAATGTGAATAAAATCACAAAGACTTTATTACAAAACTCAATGCAAATCATCATTAAAATAACATATTTTATACTGGACACAGTGGCATACATCTATAACTCCAGTTACTGCAGAAACTAAGGCAGGTGATCACAAGTTCTTGGAAAATTTAGCAAGATCTTGTCTGGAAATTAAAGTACCTAAAAGGCCAGGTGATGCAGGTGAGTTGTATGATGCTCATAGACTCAATCCCCAGTATCAAAAACAAAATTAAGAAATTTTATTAATAGAAAAAGATACCAATCAACATTATCAAAAGTTTTTGGCACTTGGTGATTTTATTTGTATCACCCCCATTCACAACAGCACTATTTGCTTTACAAGATGGAGAGACTACGAGGTTTTTCTTTAATAAACTGAAGCTTGTTATGAACAGGTGAAAGAGTAAGTATGTATTTTGCTCAGCACAGGCCGTCAGCATCTTTCAATCAATCAGACATTGAAGGTTGGTTATTTTAATGTCACATTTGAGTTTTTCCACCTTCATTTCTCATTTTTCACTACCAGATAATTCCTTTTTTCAAGGGCTGGTTGATAAATAAATTCAGTTAGTTTTTCCAATCCTTTTTCAAAACAATTGGCTGTGAAGAGATTAAAATGAGCAATATCTAGCTTTAAAATATTTTTCTATATTGGTTTTATGGTATGACTATAATCATTAAACAAGTCTTATAACACATGTATAATCCTTCTTAAAAGTCTTAGTTATTTTTTAAATAAGTAAAGTGTATTTTTAAACGACAAGATTTTAATTTTGTAAAACCTTCCTAATTTGTGAGGTGTGATCCAAAACATTTTAAAATTATTGTATATATACTGCCAGCCTTTAAGCTCTGAGAGTGTGTAACAGGAAGTAAAAATGTCAGGTTTACCAATGATATTTGTAACAATGAATTAAGTAACGTATTAGAAGAATTAATGCTTCAAGAAGTTTTCTTTAAAACATTTTATTAACTAAACAGGTAAGAGTCTTAGAAATGATTCAAGAGATTTCTACTGACCTAGACTCTTCAACTGACAAAAATATATCTAATAATTTAAGATATGGAAATGATTAATTTATTATGCTATACAGACACATCTAGCACAAGTTGAACCTGCCCACTACCTGTATACCCCTCTCATCCCCTCCTCTGCGGGTACAGAGGCATCCTTAAGCAAACCTAAAAAAACGGTGGACTTGGAACGTGTCTCAAGTTGCTGTTAACCTTCAGGGTTCCTTGGAGAAGACTGCATATTCCCAGTTGACTGTCCTATATTCTTATCAGAACTGAGTACTACAGCCCTTTATCACTAATTAAAAAAACTAACGATTAATTATTTGACTAGAGAGTCTTCAGTCCCAAAATTTCACCACCCTGCATTTGCCATGTTTATTTTTAGAGCAATTTCTAAATCTCTTTTGTTAATAAGCCTAAATACATGCTGTAAACCAGGAATTTAGGCCAAGGAGCTATGAAAATTGGTATCATGGGAGAACGAAATGTGTGTGTGTGTGTGTGTGTGTGTGTGTACACGTGGGTGCGCATGTGTATTTAACCTACATTACTTGTTCATTCAGTGTATTTTTAAACGACAAGATTTTAATTTTGTAAAACCTCCCTAATTTGTGAGGTGTGATTAAAAACATGGTGAATGTTATTTGGCTTGTTTTCATTTATTACAGTAAATGACACTTCACCATTAACCTGCCTCAAAACACTCTCCCTCATTTATTCCACATTTACTCCGTCATTCCTGTCACTTTCTGAAGCAGTTCTGGAAGTCCTTCTTGGAGAATATTATGGTTTGTATCTAAAATGCCCCGAACAGCCTCATGTGCTCATAGGTGAGATTCTGGGAAGGTACAGAACTATGGGGGCTTACAGCTGACTTAACCTTAGGAGGTGGGATCCAGCTGAAAGAGGTAAGTCACAGGAGACATGGCCTGAAACTCTCTTCCTTACTCTTCCCTTAATCCTCCCGTCTGTCTGTCTGTCTGTCTGTCTGTCTCGCTCTCTCTCTCTCTCTCTCTCTCTCTCTCTCTCTCTCTCTCTCTCTCTCGCTCTCTCTCTCTCTCTATCTATCTCTCCCCTGCAACACCACCCTGCTTTGAAAGCAGAGATCTATGGATTAAAACTTCTGCAAACTGTGAACCAGAATACATCTTTCCTTCCCTAAAATGTGGGTTTCAAATACTATTTGCAAGTCTTGTGCTTAAGACAGGGTATGTCTTCAGTTGTACTGTGAAGGCTCCCTCAGGGTCCTACATTTATTCACAATGCTGTCTCAGGAGTTTCATGGTGCTAGATCTGGTGAGTAAGGTGGAAACACACACACTATGATGTTTTTTACAAGCCTGAATTTCTGTTAGATGCACTTGGCAGCAACATTCACTGTATTTGCATTTTTCAAAAATCACACCTGGGAAAGACATGGAATGAGACTTCCATAACTGCTGCATAAGTGGAAAGAATAATGAGTTAAGTGTATTCACAGGAAAGGGGAATATTTAAAGACGAATTAATGGAAATGTGTCTTTTACTTTAATAATTTTTTTAAATTTAAACACCTAATATTTTGATTTATGTCATATTTAACAGTTATAATCATGGGATCATATATCATCATGTGTACATTTATATTAAGTAGATTCAAATGCAAGTAATTCTGTAGTCTACTACATAGGAAATAGTACAATATCATGGTATGTTAAAACAAAGAACTTCTTGCAAATAAGTACATTATTCTTAAAATGAATCATATTTATAAGGTCCAACATCCTTGATAATAGTGTTAGTCATAGTCAAAATAATCACAGATAAGAATCCATCTCTGAGTCCTATTTTCCAAAGTATTAATTTTCTTCACATTCATGCTCCGAACTCTGTACAAGCTTTGGGTATTTCTCCTGGGATATCTGACTGGCAGTTATAAATATTCAATAGAAATGTAATAGTGCCTGATATTTTTGATTCCTTAAGAAAACTGAAAATTCTATAGTTTAAAAATATTTTTCTCTACATAACAATGCTGATATTGTAATATTTTCATTCTATCAGGTTTTTTTTCTAATTTTGTGTTTTACAGTTATCAAGATACACTTGCAATAGTAGAAAACTAGAAACAACCCTAAAGTTCATGATTAAAAGAGAGTAAATTGTCATTATTTTTACATCAAACCAAAGAGATGTTATACATCACTTAAAATGAATAAATTATTGTTACATACAAATTGACATTATTTTAGTAACTACTGAATATAAAATATGCATTGCAAAAACTAAATACACTAAGTAACTACCTCATAAAGTATATAAATAAGGCAAACTAAGTAATATCATATTAATATGTCAAATACTACTTCATAATTTTTTTTCTTAACCTATATCTCCTAAGATTAATATCATTAGAAAGATCCAAAGGTATGATGCCTAATCTACCATGCCTTTCTTTTTAAAGAATGTAACTCTAGAAATAGAATAAATGCACTGGTGTCTGATTATCATATTACAATATTGTGGCAATTTGGAAGAGAGTCCATCTACTCATACTTTCTGAAGCATCTCTAGAATCTTAAAAGTTTTTTTTAAGGTGCAGTTCCTGGAGGAGATAACTTTCGGTAAATGAAGGGGAAAAGATGGTTAATTCACAGGGCTTCAGCAATATGCAAGGGGATGAATATATCAAACTATACAGTTACTTCCATTTCTAACCATTAGGCATTTGGGGTGTACTACAGATTTATTAAGGACTATTTCTTAAACTGTAGGAATTTGTTTTTATGAAGCTTTTCCTATTGCTTGACTTATTTAACAATTACAATCATCAGATATCATAATTTGTACACTGATATTCAAATTTTGCAAATGCTCTGGACTTGATAATTCTACCAAAAATATATTAACTCACATTACAATTTAAAATGGGTTAAACACAAAAACAAATTAATGACTTCTTCTAAATCTTCCTAAATCCTATTTCTATTTACTCAATTTTGCTATAAAACACAAAGAATCTAGAAGACCATGATAAAGTAAATAGAGGTTCATTTTCACATCTGGTAAAAGGGAATTTTTACCTGAGCACAATATGAGCCTTGACTCTTAGCTACGCAGGAGGTTGAGGCAGGAAAATCACTTAAGCCCAGGATTCAAAACCAAATTAGGCAATATAGTGAGATTCCATCTCAGAAAAAATGTTTTTAAACCTCATTAACACAGAGATGAAAATTAGTCATGAGGTGTGATAAAAAAATATGATGAATATTAAAATTTTCAAACGTATTACTGAAAAAGATACATTGCCATTAATCCTCCCAAAACACATCTTCTTCTTTTGAACACTCTTATCCTAGCATTCCTGTCCCTTTATGAAGCAGTTCTGGAAATTCTTTCATGTCTTTATTGAGCTGTCTCGGCTGCCTTGATACCTTGAATTGATTGAAAACATTTACCTTTCAATGTCATTTTGACTTTGGAGAAGAGCCAAAAGTCCTATGGTTCAAGAGTCAGTGAATACAGTGCAGAAGGACTCACTGCATGTTTTTATTTGACAGAAACTGCCCTAAATATTGGAGCAACACGGGATGACCAACAATTATGGCAAAGGTTTAAATCTTAAAATTTTACTACAATAAAAGATATTCTGCCAATAATCCCCATCAAAATATAGGTCCTTGCCTTGTAAACATTTATCCTATCATTTGTAGTACTATGTCTTTTACTTTAATAAAGATTTATGTTTTTTGAAATTTGACATTCACTGTATTTTTTGATCACCCCTTACACCTTTTGGTTCTGCTCCTACCTTGTTCCTTTTCATGAAGGTACATATTATAGTCCCATGTTTTCTCACTTTGTGTTATTTCATTTTTGAATTAACATCTCTTTCCAGAAAATTCTAACACTGCAATCCACATGGATGAATTATTATGTATCATCAATATAGCTGCCAAATTTTCACAAACTTGATCTGGGCATCTTGCTGACTTAGAAAAACTCTTTTCAGTGCATAAAAATTATGTTCCTCCATTCTGCCTAATAAATCGGTTTTGAGTCTCTCATTCTCAGTCTACCAGAAAATGTTTGGTTATACTTTCCTGGCTTCTGAATTTAACGCTCAAAATCCTGCACTTTCAACCACATGCCTTCCCTGCCAATGAAGTGAAGTCTATTGGTACCATCTCACTAAAACAAACATGCCCAGGCTACAGTTAGTGTCTTCAGAAGTAGATACTGATTATCTAAAAAAAGAAGTAGCCTCTAAAAGAGTAGAAAAAATGATTTGAACTAGAGAACACAGACGTTCCTTTGATGTGAGCAGTTTAGGTGAGTACAGTGAATGAAAGATTTACTGAGAAGAAAATAAGTTTAGGAAGTAGAAAAATGATGACACAAAGTTCTTTCCAGAAAGTTTACTATGAAAAAAGCAGACAGGACAGAATCACATCAGTGACATCTCTTTCTAAACAAAAAGCTTTAGACAGTATTTGGAGCCACGATGATGGGGTCAAAGTCAAAAAGAAGCTTAAGTGGGAATTTCAGAGAAAGAGAGCCAGCAGGAAGAGGATGATACACAGAATAGTATGCTCAAAATGCAAACTGCAATTTCATAACTTCTGATATTGACAAGATAAAGATACAACCCAACATATAGGATTTCCACAGTCTCTGGATAAATCATGCTTAAATCATGTGAGCTTTGAGCAAGAGCGCAGACAGGAGTAAAGTGGAAAATTAGTGACCTAAGAGCTGCAACAATCACTGAATTTGTGCACAGCAGGGAGGTATTATTCTCTGTAAAATGGAATCCACAGAGGAAGTAGGTGGATAGGAAAGAAAATGGCACAAACATTCTGTGTGCTAGTAGTCTGGAGGAATGAGCAAGAAGTGGCTGGGACACAAGATTAGGGATAAGGAAAGCCACTCCAGCCCCTCCTCAAGGCCTGGGGTACAAGAGTCAGGAGCCAGGGGATCTAGGGAGGCAGTATCATGAGATGAGAGTGACACTGCTGTGTGGTCCAACAGGAAGATGAGAAAAGCAGTGGGAACAGGCTAGGATCCAAAGCAGGTTACTGACAGAGGCAAAATTCTGGCAAGTAGAGGAAAATGTGAGAAGCAACACAACATTTCTAAACTGTGACTCCTGAGCTGGGGCATGGTGGCTGAGGCAGGAGGATCACTGCAAGTTCGAGACCAGCCTGGGCTATAAAGTGAGCTCAAGACCAGAACTGCATGGCAACACCCTGTCCCAAAAAGACTAATTAATTAATTAATTAATTAAACAAACTGTGACTCCTTTTTAAACTTACCTGTGTTTTCTTTTGCAGTACACCAAAAGATTGTCAAAAAGAAAAAATACCCGCTCTTGAATGTTTCCAGAAGAAATTTTCAGCAAAACTCCACACATTAACATTTCAGTGCAGGTGTCAGTAATATTGGACCCCTGAATCAAGGAAAACAAAGTGGCAATGTCTGATTACTTGGCTGAAACTTACAAAGGTAATTATTCTTCTTAAAATCATACTTGCTTTTACTAAAAACCAATAAATCTATAGGACAAAATTCAAACAGGACAAGTGACGATACTAAATGTAGATCACCTCGCATTTCCAGTAATCCGATCAGTCTCAGCAGACACTGGGTCTGCTTTCAAATGGTTTATGTACGTATGCAGACATAGTACAGGTTATCTGTGCTATGCAGAACAGAGATAATTCCAAAAGAATTCATAATGTTCATATTCATATTTTTCCTTGTTTACCCAAACAAAGGCTCCAAGGACACAAAGAAATGATATAAAACCGTGTAAATTTCCAACAGGTACCATGTTATATATTCATTTCTAGGATAAAGATGACAAAATAAATAAAAACAAAAATTACTTAAAGGGAGCAACTTTCAAAAGAGGATTTCACATGATATACTAAGTGCCCTCCAAGATTCCATGACTGAAGGATAAATCTGATTCTTAACCCAAACCTAACTGAGAGAGAAAGAGGCTGGGCCCTTGAATCAACAGCAGAAACTAGAATATAAATGTTTTGAATCATTGTCTTGAACTCCTGTATTGTTTTTGAATCATTATAAAAATTATGGTCTATTTGTTTCTAAATATTGTACTTACATGGTTTAAATAAAAGAATTGTCAGTAGAGACATGCAGGTGCTCTCCACAAGAGAATTTAAACTTAAATGGGCATGATTGCTTTCATTTTATATATATTTTATTTTCAAAGTTCCTCTAAATCCCTAAGATGTCCCGTATAGGCTCCAACTTGTGATGCTCCTGCCTCACAACTGCTGCTCAGTCTCCAGGGGTGTCTGGTTTCACTTAATGTAGAGGCTAATTTCTCATTCTGTTTGAATCAAGGTTTCTATTTTTATTTTCATATTAAAAATTCAAGTCATAAATTTTAAATTCATATTCTCACAAAAATCACATTGTTTATATGATCAATTTTAAAACTTTAAACACTTCATACCTATGATAAGAAACTTCCAAAAGTTAAAAAAAACAAAATGCTATTATTTTTAATCTAGTTGTTTATGTTATGAACACATTTTATATTTTAGACGGTTCCCTTTTTTATTTCTTTTTATCCAATGGTAAATATATAAATGGAGATTTGGCAAAAACCTACACAGCAGCTGCATAAATATAATTGGACTATACAAAAATAAATGAGTTTCCATTTTACATTTTAGTCCTATTATAATTTTTTCCAACATAAGGTTATTGTTCCATAAAATAAATTATGATAAATTATTGTCCCTGGCGTTGAATTTGTATCTGTATTTCATCTTTGAAGGTGTGTAAGTTTTAACTTTTTTTATACTACTATATATTTCATAATTACTGAATATTCATTTAAATATGCATAATGTTGTATTTATTTGGTCAGTGTTTTTTCATCATTTTGAAAATCAATTCTAATTTCCAACTCCAAATATCTACCTTTATTAAATATGGTCACTGAAAAACCATTTATAACAAACAACTTATCTAGATAAATACTAAACATCTATTATATTTCTTTTAATTTTTTAAAGAGAATAAAACAAAAAGATACAAAACAAAACAGAACAAAGCAAACAGAACACAACAATGCAAGCAACACAGCACTTCACAACAGGACCACAGAACATCAACAGTGGCTACCATAATGTCTCTTGCTTTCTTTGAAATAGTTGACCATGCCTTCACACACAATAATATAAAACATAACAGACTAGTATAAAACAAATCAAAAGAATGAAATCACTATAGGACTTCAAAACCAGGAACAGGAAATGAACAATGGCTACTATATTATCTCATTTTCCTCAAAAATGTTGTCCATACCATAACACATAATAAAATCAAATAAAACACAACAGAATAGAACCAAACAAAACAAAACAAAAGAACAAAAGCATGATAGGACTTCAAAACAAGATGATAGGAAATCAGCAATGGCTACCATAATGTCTTGTTTCTTCAAAATTGCTGTTCATGCCATCACACATAACAAAATCAAGCAAAAGAAAACCAATCAAATAAAAGAATGAAAGCATTATAAGACTTCAAAACAATATAATAGGAAACAAATCATGATTACCATAATATATCCCATTATGTTCAAAATAGCTGCCCATACCATCAGACAAAGTAAAATCTAACAAAACAAGACAGAACAAAGGCAAACCTAACAAAATTGTGAAAACAATACAGGAGTTCAAGACAAGACAATAAGAAATTAACAGTACTTTTCCCTCCCAGGTATTTCCTCCCCTATCACTCTTACAATAACTATTTTGCTTTCAGATTCCACTAACTGCTTCTATTTCTTATGCTAGGGTTCACGCATATGAGTTCAAAGTGTTTTGCCCATGATCATGATCTCCAGTTGCATCCATTTACCTATAAGAACCTCAAGATTATTCTACTTTGTAGCTTGGTAGCTTTCCACTGCATGAAAATACCGTATCTTTCTAATCCATTCTGCAGGTGATAGGCAAGTTACTCTTGCTTTTTTTTTCTGGTCTCCTGTCACATAGAACAACTGTTTTCTCTTCTTTGGTTTTCAGGCTATAAATTTCCATTCCAGTTAAATGTGTTTCTTGTATACATTGTATGGATACATCTTGTTTCTTGATCCACTCTCCCTGTGTTTCTTTTTATTGCTGATATGAGGCCATCTACATTAATGGTTACAATCAGCATATATGGGTTTGTCTCTGCCATGTTATTCTCCTGCTGTTGGCCCTCCATTTTTCCCCTTCATTCAATCTTGTTGGGCAATTCTCCTCTGTTGCTGTTCCCAGAACCATGATCATTTTTATTTCTCTCTAGAATATCCTTTAACACTCTCTGGAAGGTTGGTTTGGTAGTCATGAATTCCTTTAGCTGTTCTTTATCATAGAAGTATCTTATTTTTCCATAAACTTTGAAAGATAGTTTTGCAGCCTGTATCAATTTGGGTTGGAAGTTGTTTTCTTTCAAGGTTTGAACCACTTTACTCCAAATTCTTCTTGACATGATGGTTTGTGTTGATAAGTCTGCCATGATTCTGATTGGTTTTCCTTTATAGGTAATCTGTTTCTTTTCTATAACAGCTTTTAATATTCTATTTTGTGCTGAATTTCTGGGATCTTAAATATCATATGTCTGGGTATAGATTTACTTTGGATATAGCTAGATGGAATTCTACGTACCTGATTTATCTGCATGCCACATCAATTTCCCATATTTGGAAAGTTTTCTGCTATTACTTCTCTAAATAGTCTTTTCATTTCATTTGGTTTGACCTCTGCTTCTTCACCAACACCTATCACTCTTAAATTATGCTTCTTTGCATCATCATGCAGCCATTGAATTATTTCCTGATTCTGTGTTATTTTTAAGAGATCTTTCTTTACATGATTGCTAGTTGCAATCCTGTCTTCAAAGTTTGAAAGTCTATCTTCAGTCTCTTTCAAGGGATTTTTCCAGCTTTCAATTGACTGTTTAGTTTCCTGGATCTCTCTCTGAATCTGTTTCATGCATGATAATTCCTTTCTACCTTCATTCAAGGTTTCTATCATTTTCCAATGCTCCTCTTTTTATCTATGTCTTCTTCAAATATTCTGAGCAATTCTTTCATTGTGTTTATAATTTCTTCTTTTATCTGAGACATTATTTCTGATTTGACTGTTTTTACAGCCTCATAAAGTTGTTTCCTTACTTCAGTTGCTATCCTCTCGAGAGATTTCAGGTGTGTAACTTCCATTTTCTTCCATTACTGTATCTCCCAGACTTGTTCTGTGTGGGCGGAGGTCTGAGAATGACTTTTGTTCCTTTGTCTTGACACTCTCCTGGGTTCCTCCCAACAAGCTGGTTTAGGGCCTCAGGCACTTTCCACAGGCTGCTCCTCCATGGTGTAGAGAAACGGGACAAGCAGCTGGGTTCCCCTGATCCCAGATTTACAGGGAGGTAGCAAGGTGTGGGTTAGGTGTCTCCAAACCTGTGCAGCTACACTGGGGCTTCCCTGATGATCAGCGACACATGGAGGTAAGGCTGCTTCTCTCAGCCTGTGTGTCTACACTGGGACTCCCACAATAGTGGCAGGCACACAGGGGTATGTTTGTCTGATTATCCTGGTGGGTGATGGCTGCCTGAATGAACCAAGGACCTCCAGAGGTGGCCTACAGGTGCACAGTGCTTACCTGTCTGTGTGTCTCTGCTCCTGCTGGCTGCTTGCAGGAAGGAGCCTTCGGTGGCAACACCCAACAAGCAAAGGTGGACCTGTCTGGTTCTCCCTGCCCACACTGACTGCCTGCTGGAAAGGGCCTTTCGGTGGCGGGGGCCAGCAGGCAGAGGGGGATTTGCTTGCTTTCTCTGCCCGTACTGGCTGCCCGCAGAAAGGGGCCATCCTGTGGCAATGGCCAGCAGGCAGAGGCAGATCTGGTTGTCTCTGTCCACACTGGCTCTCCACAGGAACCATTTATTACATTTCTACATTTCAGGCAATGTTTTAAATATGTTCTCCCATGATAAATCTCTACCAAATTCACTTTATAAGAATAGAAGCTATTAGTTAGGTAACTATATTTATAATTAGAACCCATTAAGATCACAGTCTATCCTGTTCATCTCATCAACTGAATGTTGCAAGTCAGTCAGAAAAGCACAAACTGATTGCAAGGAAAAACCTCAATATTGGAAAGATGAAGGATAACATAAAGCCTTGAAGTTTCCCACTCACATGCAATACACTGACAAAGATCTAACAAGCCCAGACTCATTTATGGTGGAAGAAAGAAAAACTGACAAGAAGGACAACTTGATGGGCATTTCAAAAGAGAATAGTTTCAATATCAAAATGGTCTCTTGAGAAAACTGATGAATCATTTGAATATTCTTAACAAGAGAAATCATTTTAAAACACCATGAAATCAAACATGAAATGAAAAGTATCAGTTTTAT